GATGTGGCCATTTAAATTAAATTTTAATTAATTAAAATTTAATTTAATTTAAAAATTCATTTCCTCTGTTTTACTAGCCACATTTTAGCTACTCAATAGCCACATGTAGCTAGTGGCTACTGTATTGGTCAGGACAGATCATAAAATATCTCCATCATCTCAGAAAGTTATGCTGGACAGCACTGCTCTGGAGTAAAGAAGCTCTCTTAGAATGTTGTTTTTATTATCCCGAGAAGATTATGAACACTTGCTGAGAGTCCCAAGAGTGCAACTTATCACATGTAGGCCTGACTCCATCCAATCAGATCGAACCCAAAGGGAGAAGAAAACTACACCATGTCAATTCCTCCAGCAGGATCTTCAGTGAAGTCTCAGGCTAAATATTACGCAAGAAAACCCAACAGAACTTGGGGGCCTGTAAAATAAGGATGACTCATCTCCTAAGACTCATGTTGAGGAGGAAGATGAAGTTCACAATAACAGAATTGAGAATGAAAGGGAAAAATGGAAGTCCACTTATCTTTAAAATGGTGCTTAGAACCTTGGAATGTCTAACTTATTTGAATAGGTGATACTAATGATGTCTTTGAAGGTTGCTCAACACTGTATTTCTGCCTGATAACAGTCCCAATAAGCAACCAAGCATTTAATTCCTAAATTTGCATAAGAGTCAAAAGAAGGATCTTGTTACAATCGAAAACTAAGTTTTGATTCCACAAGAAAGGTAACAGTCTCATGTGAGAACAGGAACTAGAAACACTATTATAATAGAATATGATTATGAATTAGGGAAAAATGAAAAAGAATGTAAAGGGAAAGACCAAGATTGCTCTGCAACTTGGTGCCAAGGTTCACATATACTGCGGTTAGTAAAATGGCAACGGAGACATTCCAGAGGATCAGGAACGAGATATAATGAATGTTACAATCCATAGAATTTTCATGGTGCTCATGTAACAAGCACTGAAATCTGCACAACGTATCATTTCAACTGTGAGAAAACAGGTGTTGAGACCTACCCAGCAGATTGAAAAACAGGCCTTGGTCTGCTGCCTGTGGCATAGAGATATTACTCTAAGGGTCCGGATCTGGAGCCCATCTTTCTCTTAAACCACTGGACTGCATAACTCTTAGTAACTCAGAAGGCAAACTGTGCCCACGGAAGCCATGGAGAAGAGCACAAGAACTTGAAAGTTCACTTCCCAAGGCATTCAGCTAACAAGTCTGCCTTTCTGTTCAAACAGCAGGATTACTGAGAAAGAGGGCAACTCAATGAAAGAACAATTTGACTAGCTCTTGTTTTCTTAAATAACAAAAACTAGTTATATTGTGTAAAAAAATAGAATGTAGGAGTTTTTTTTTCAACAGGGAAGAAGGAAAAATTAAAATCTTAAATCATGGGGAAAGTTGATGTTTTCTTCTGGAATCCTGGACTTTTAGGTTGGGAAACTATATTACAGCTGAAAGATCAAGCTTTTAGAAGTCAGGAAATTCCAAAGCAAGCCTACAGCAGCGCTTATTTGGACACATCACACATGGTACATATTTTACGGTCCATGTTTAACAAATAGCTGGGAGATGAAAAAAAGAAGTTCCACATACTCAACATGGCAGAATAAATTCTATAGCAGAAAGAAGAATTTTGAGATGTTCTGAACACTACTCCTGAGACCAAAGATATTTCATTGATCCAGTTTTAGCATTTGTTTTCCTTTTTCTTATTTTTAGAACAAAAAGTCATCCCAGTTGAAAAAAGTATACATGTGTAAAATACTATGTACATCACCATCCTATAAATCTGAGAGGCAGTCCCCCTCTTTTGACAACTCTCTAAAAATCTCATGAAACAAATGCTTATTTTCCTCAACTTCAGATCTTAGTTTTCTATCTTTGGAACTTAATACTTACATAATTGTCTTCAAATACGGCTTGACTTTTCTTCCTTGATGAAAACAGCATTCCTGCCAACTTTAAAATTTATAGCTACAACCATATTTTTTTTTAGTTTTAAAAGCATAAAAAATACAACTCCTCAAAGTGATTTTGAAATGAACATTTCTTCATTTTCATAATTATCCCATGTCACACTGAAAAATACTCCAACTCAGCATACAGATGGAAATAACATTTACCTCTGAGCAGCACAAAATATTACATTTGGAGATAATATCAGCAACTAAAATATATTCCAGTGGCAGTCATATTCTAGTCATTATGAACTTCATAACAAAGTAAAATGGCGCATCTAATAATCAAATTCCTCTGTGTGTGTGTGTATCTGTGTGTGTATGTGTCCGAGTGCGTATGTATGGCACTTTCTCACTTTTACAACTACACTCACAGTTTTCAAAAGCACTTTCACATAACTTCATTAATTTGATCTTCTGACAATCCTGAAAGGTATACAAGACAGGGATTATTTATTAGTCCATGTAATAGAGCAGTAAACTGAGATACAGAAAGGCTAAGTGACTTGCCAAAACCCAAAGTTCATCGGCGGCAAACTCTGGAGAAATAATCCAGACTCTGACGCTCAGACCAGTCCTTTACAACAAAGTTTAGGTGTGCAGTTTAAATTAGATGAGAAACGTGCACAGTTGCTGAGTTTCTAAAGCAGTTTCAACAATGCTTCTTTTTTCTCCCCCAGCATCATAAAGGTTCATAGTCTATCTCGCTGCTGGAAAAATGGGGGCAGTCACCTGGATTACAGAGAAACTGCATCAAAAGGCTGGGTTTGAAAGTATTCACACTTGCAAAATTATATGCCTTTGAAAACCTAGTCAAAATAACACTATAATCCAACAGCCTCCAAGGTAGAAAATATTGAAATTTATTGGGGATAATAAACTCTGGACCATTTATCTTTAAAAATAAATAGAAAGGGTAATCTAGGTAAAAAATGTTTCAAGAAGAGTATGGGGTAAAATTGAAATTATACCACTGGTTGCAAAACATGTTCAAAACTTGAATCTTTCCAAACTGATTATGATTTTTCCTCTCTTTCCTCCTGGAATCCGGACACCACAACAAGGCAGCGTTGCAACGTCTTTTTCACTTTTAAGTTACGATCAAGTGCACATCTACATCTGCTACATTTTTATAAGAACCTAACTGGCATTTGTAACCAATAAAAATCAGCCTTAAAGGCAGCACTCGTGTTATTTCAAATGATTCGGGGATTTGTTTTTCTTTTAAATTCCTCAAAGAAGCAATTGAAGTAAATGGAGAATGTGTCAGTTTAAATTTTTACATGTGTTTCTCTATACTTTTCAATTATTAGGCAAGCTCCTAAAAGACAAAAATTATTTTTGTCCTTTATTTTTTCCCCCATAGCAACTAGAGTAGAGGTTGGCATAGGCCATGTGGAGTTCACTGACTGTGCTGGAAACCAGGCAGAAATTCTCAGGTCCCCCCTTCCAGGCCTAAGGACAAGGAGGAATATCAGAGTCTAGGTTTCGTCCCACTGGTGATTTTGCAGAGGAAATGAGCAGTGCAGATGGTGAGAGCCATGGGAGCTAGAAGAGAGGGGAGCAGGTCTGTGTGAAATGCCTCTGGAGCAAATACCTATCTAGAGGTTGGAGTGGGCAGTGTGGCTAAAAAGACAACTGACCAAAGGAGCATATTCACCACTGTGTTCTAAGGCCTTGACACAAACGTCATAGACAGAAAACAGCTGAGAAAAACGCATCTACCACACAACAGTAATAGTCACTGGATGCAAAATATATGTATACCATTGGTTAGGCCATCACAGCTACAGCCAAGTTTAGAATGAGATAATTTTCTGTTGGATAATTGAGGCTTTCCTCCCTAAAACATGGCTATAAAGTCCTCAGGCCACTGTTTAGTTTAGATAACATGATCTATGTATCTGTTTCTTCTAAGTCAGAGTGTAATTAAATAAATTAGTTTTAAATTTTATTGCATTTTATTTTTTATTTGTCCCTGTTCTTGAATACACAGTTCCAGTAACAGTACATAGGCCCCTTTACTTTATATTTTATATAAAATAGACTATATTTTATATACTTGAAGTTGGAACCACTTATACGCCACAAATATATTTTAGAGTTAGAATCAAAATTCCTTAAAAGCAAACAAAAACTGGTTCCACTAAAGAGCAAGAAAAATGATGAATTCAGGGTCTTGAAAACGTCACACCACAAACAACCAACCCTGAATAACTAAGCATAACGTCTACGTGACAATATCTACGATTACAGCGATAGAATCTTAGAATATAAAAAAATACAGGGCCGGCCCCGTGGCTTGGTGGTTAAGTGAGCGCGCTCCACTGCTGGCGACCCGGGTTCGGATCCCGGGCTCGCACCGACGTGCTGCTTCTCCGGCCATGCTGAGGCCGCGTCCCACATACAGCAACTAGAGGGATGTGCAGCTATGACACACAACTATCTACTGGGGCTTTGGGGGGAAAAAATAAATAAATAAAATCTTTAAAAAAAAAAATACATGTATGATAGAATAGCAATATATAGACAAGCTTATATAAAGTATATACACTTTATAGAAAAAAGAACGTTCATCTAAAAAGATTACATCTCAGTTCACAAAGGACAGTTTTAAAAAACTAGGCCTCTATGTTCTGATTTGGGGATGTTGAAATAGTTTGTATCCTATGAACTGTGAACTTGATATTTCAAATTTATGTGAGAAATTGTTCCCAAATATATTTTAAATGTGCATCTGTTACTGCTTATCTATGGGAGTTCAAGTCCAAACTACAGATCATCATCCAAAAACAATGAATATCTAAGACACATATGACTTCACATGCTGCACAATGAAGGAACCAATTACTTTATCGAGAGGCCACGGGCCCATGACCATGAGACTCAGACCTCCTAAGTAGGTCGACTCAGAGTTAATGTTGACACAGAATGCACTCCCAAAAGGTGGTAGGGTTGTAATAGAAATTCACAATGTGTATTCTAGACAAACCAGCAGGAGGAATGCACATGACAATCAAGTGTTTCACGTACTTTGCGAAGCCAATGAAATCTTCGTGGTTGGTGTTGATGTAGGAGACTTGGATGTCAATCAACAGCAGTACCTGTAAGGCAAAAAGAAACACTTCCTTAAAAACCCATCTTAAATATTCTCAACCACTAAACTCAGTAATTGCCTACAAATTATTTATCTTCATTTAATTTTAAAAAGGATGCTTCAGTTAGAATGAAAAGTTGCATTAATTTTTTCAATAATTAATGTAATTATTTTTGTAATTTTTACTCTCAATTCAGAAATTAAAAATCTACATGAAAATTCTGAGTCCCACATGAAGAAAACAGCTTTATAGTTTATAGGCATGTACTCTTTGCTAACTTAACACAGAACCTAGAATTATTCTATTCCTCTAAAATGTATGTATGATGTTCAAAAGACAGCCATGTGTGTATAGGAAGACATGTGGCAAGAAGGCCAGTGACAGGCTGCTCAGAACTTCCTGCTCCTGTGGACACCATATATTAGCCACGAAATAGCAATATCATCTCTTATTTTTCCTCTCCTCTTCCATCTCTTTAAGTTCCCTCTAGGCAAGCAAGAGAAGTATCTCATCAACCAACTCAAAGGGCAATATACAAATAAATAGAAAGCCTCCTTGAGATGAATAGGCTTCATCATCAAAGTAACACTTCAGTCAGGTCTCTGTTAAAAGATCACCTCATCAGAGGGATCCTCCCTGCCCATTCTACCTGAATTAGCACTCTTGTTACTCTCTATCCTGTTACTCTGCCTTATTTTCCTTTGTAGCACTACCACTAGCTGACAGAGTAAGTTTTTACATATTCAGGATACAGACCTCATCTGCTGTATCCACTGCCACATCCCCAGTGCCTAGAACATCATGTGCATTCAATCAAGATTTGTCAAGGAATGAATTGAATGCATGTTCCAGTAAACATGAAAATGTTCTAATCATAAGATACTTATACACTCTAAGTCCAAGATCTGGAAGGTCCCTCTGTAGAATACATTCTTCAATGGGAGACAAAGAGACCTAGAGAGAACAAGAGGAAAGTGGAGCAACCAGAAACTGGAAGAAAGAGAATTTTATTCCAGAGATAGTCAAAACTGAGTTCCCCTTACTAAGTTTCCTTTTGTTCTCCCACCTCGGCCCCTTGTCTTTCTAGAATGTTGAGACTTATTGATAGGGAAAAATACTTAAGAATCCCTGCCTGTATACCTCCAGAGCTCTGCGCTTTGACTTTGCTGAATGAACTTTTGATGACCACAGCGAGTATTTTCACACTGCCTCTCTTCATTGAAGGTAACATCTGAGTGCATCAGAGCACTCATGGCAACCGCTCACTGACATAGTCTATATAACCCTCCCCAGTGGGTACTTCCTCAGGAAAGCCTTCCCTGATCCCCTCACCTCACCCAAGCCCAAGTTGGATCATGCTATTACTCTCATATAGTCTATATATAATAATTATATTTTACATATATTGAACTTTATACTTTTTATTTGCGGTGTTTACCACAAATGTAATTAATTATTTGTATATATTTTGTTTGATGTTTTGCTTCCCTGCAAGACTATAAACTCCATGGAAGCAGGGATTATATTTGTCTTGTTCACCACTTTATCTCCAGAACCTAGCATGATACACATAGTAGGTGCCCAACAAATATTTGTGGCTGTAAATTGTATAACTATCTACCAGCCTAGAATAACAATTTGCTTTAAAGGGAGTAATTTATTCCCATATAATTAGTACATGACCACTTATTATTGTTTCTCACTCACTACCCAATGCTATGGGCTCTGAGGCTTTGTTTTTGCAGCTAATCTCAACTGGTCATCTGACCAAATCTTGCTGTGAATCCCAAAGGGCCCTGCCAAAAAACATTAAGTGGGATCACCCCAAAACCATCCCCACTACCAAACATAAGAGTCTAGGCACAGGTGCTATTGGGTCAATAACATCACACTTATATGAAGAAGTTTCACAACATCAGATACGGTTTTGTTTCTTCTCTTAATGAAGAAAACTGAAGAGTTAGGAGGAGTGACCATTATTAGATTATCTGTGGTATTGCCTCTATTCTCCCTACAATAAAGCCAGATTCTGTTAAATGTTATACTCCCAAATCCATTTGGCCACCAGTTTGTATCAACAAACCATAATATTTAAGCACAAATAAATTGTTGCCACCATAAAGAGCAAAATATCTACATAATTCTTAACGTTGCCAAAGGTTGTCATGAGTATCTTGGACATTCACGCACATTAACTTGGACTGCAGTATAGGAAAAATGTGGAAAAAAATAAAAACTATGGCTGTTCTCATTCATATTCCTGGAAACGGGGAGTCTGTGTTCATCCTAGGAAAAGAGCCAGGTCGCATGTGGGGGATGAAAAGGAAAACAGTACATTTTTTTCTCATTTTTTTCACTTTCTCAGAGTTTCTCACTGCCTTTTTCACCCACAGTTATTAAATATTTAGTTGAAGAAAAGCAAAGATAGCCCTGGTAGCGTAATCACCCACAAAGTCAACTGCTTCAACATGTATGGAAGCACCTGGAATAACAGCAGGCACACAAAGATGTTCAAAAAACCTTGTTTTCGAAAAAAGTTCACAGACAGATTTATGGTTTTCATATTTTAAATTTTGAAGAATTTTTGCCCCCACAAAGCTTTCAGAGCAGAGGTTGGTAATAATTCCACTTAAATAAGCAGTTCTGATACAGAGGCCTGAGGAAATGGGTCACTCTCTGACCAGCTACTTCAGAAGTACCATATGGCCCAATGTAGCAGAGTTCAGAACTCAAATGTGAGATCTATGCAAACTGACAGGTTCACATTAGCAAAAACGTGTGTTTTTACTATGCTACACAGGACCACATTAGAGGTAGCAAGCACCAGTGTCTGCAGGCGGTTGGTTAACCGTCAGACCAGGCATCTGAGATGGTCACTTAGGAGGGAGACGCCTGCCCCAGCCCTTATCTCCCACTTGGGGAGTGAATTAATCACATCAGAGTTCGAGATGGAAGACAATTTCCCTTCAAATCAGAAAAGACAGTTTATATCTACTATGTGTCATAGCTCTTCAGTAATAACAACAGAAGCAACTAGAATGAATGAAGAACTAAGAGTTATATTTGAATTACTTCATTTCATCCTCACAAAATGCCTAGGAGTTACCATTATTATCCCCCCTTAAGATGAGGAAACTGCAGTGTAAAGACGTCGAGTAACTCGTGCATTTACACAGAAAGTAAAGGGTAGAGCTGGGATTCAAATTCAGGCAGTCTGAACCCAGAGCCCACCATCGTAACAACCATGCTAAGTGTGCGTATGTCATTTTAGTAAAAAAAACAACTCTGAAACATGAACTGTTTCAACTGACTTAGATATGACACAAAGATAATTAAGATAATAATTGTACTATTTTTTTCTCGATATTGTTTTTACATAGGATCCCTAAGAGTTAAGTAGGATAGATTATCATTTGAATTTTATAGAATAATGACACTAAATTAAAACAGTTATCTTATTTACTTAAGGTCAGGAGTACAGTTGACACTTAAGTTTTAAGAACTTAAGTTTTCTAGGTCTAGCAGCAGCCATGACATCAGATATTGGGAGGAACTGCTGGCCTCAGGGTTATATATCTGGCCCGAGGCTTGATTTCACTGGCTCACGGGTTAACATTGATTTGTTTATCTCCACTAAGTCACAAAACCTATTTTCTCCACTTTTGGCTATTGTGGATATCCAAAAGTGTGAAAATTGGAAAACAAGTGAAAACTATGAATAATGGTTAATTAACTTTCAAAGCACAATGATAAAAAGTAGTAGCAATGAATCCCACAGCTCAAGCAGAGAGCAGGTTGTTACTGGAGTCACTCACAAATATCCCAGCCTGCTGGGCCTCCTTTCCTCCATCATCTTCACTTTCTCTTTCCACTCCCACTCCACCCCGCACACACCCTCTGTTGCAAGTGTGTGTCTCTCTGTGGTTTGTCTCTCTCTCTCTCTTCTATTTTGCCTTCCTCCTTTTCCCCAGTTCTCTCTCTCCTCCTTTCCAACTCACCTGAGAACCACAAAATCTTGGAAGGCTAACTTCCAGAGGACTTCAGAGGTCATACAGACCAATATCCCAAGTTGTACATGAGAAAACAACAGTCCTGAGCAGTGGTTTGCACAAGAACATGCTGTTATTTTGAGAAGAACACCTGGCCTGGGTCCAGTGTCCTCTCCATGCCGTCACACTTGCAGCTGTGCGCTGGAATCGAAGAGCATCTGAAACCTGTGTGCTTTCCATTATCATGTTTTACAAGGAACTAAGAAAAAATCCACCTAAATTTAAGAAGCTTTCATTATTTTCACATAGTCCTTAACTTTTTTTAATGAATTAACTTAAAAATAGTCTTTTGAATTCATAGGACTAGCGAGGATTAGAAGACAATTTCAAGGTCACTCCTTACAAACCATACACATTCACAGAATAGTTAGAAATGTTTAAAAGAGCTGTTCTTAAACTTTTTTTTTCAATCATAGGTTCCATGGATGAGTTGATGAACAGCTTTGTCCATTCTCCCCAGAAAAAAAATGAAAAAACTGAACATTTTGCATAACATTTTAGGAATTTATGAATATCCTGGTGCCCATCTGTGGGCCCACTAAAAGTTAAGAACCGCTGTCTTAAAGAAAAAATGTGATATGTTTCTGGATTAGTGGTTTTCAAAGTGGGGTGTGTACATGCTAGGGCTGCACAAAATAATCCATAAAGCATTGAGGAAAAAATAATGAAACTCCTATTACTACTTTTTAAATTTTATCCTTCTAAAGTCTTTATATTTGTTCATATTTTTAACAAACACAAGATGTTAGTGTAGCAACACATGTATAAAATTCATAAATAAACAAAAATAAACATATGTGGTTGTGTTCTTAGTAATTTTTTTCCATTCAGGGATAGGCCGACAATTGGAGACCACCAGACAACCTTGGAGAGACCTTCCACTTCTCACAAGGACCCTGCCCACCAGAGAAGGCCTCTCCTCACCTGGTCCTTTGTTTTCCCTTCTCGCTCGCGAATGTGGTTAGCGACAATTCTTTCTGTTTCCTCGCATAGTCTGGGGAAGTTTGCCAGCTGTCAAGAAAAATAGATCTGAGTGTTAATACTCAAAAAGTTATACCACAAAAAAAGGAGCAGAGATAAATCATGTTACCTTACAGAAGATACACATTACAATTCTGGAAGCAAAAGTGAAATATCATGAAATTCTAAGGAAGTATGTCAGAGTGACAAAAGAGGCTCCACAAATTATAATCAGAAGCAAATTTGCCATCTGAGAGGAAACACTTCAAAACCAGCAGAGAAATTCCCTACAAAGAAAACAGAAACTCAGATACCATCTAGCACTTGCTCTACAGAGTTGGCACTTAATGAAGTTCAAAGATAAAGATAATGGAAACGAGGATGAAAGAGCATAATGACTAACATTAATAGAGTGCTTACCACATGCCAGGCTGTGTGCTAAGCACCTCATGCATCACCTCATTCAAAAGTCACAAGAACCGTAAGAAATAGATCGTATTATTAGCCCCATTTTAAAGAGAAGGAAAGTGAAACACAGAGAGGTTAAGTAACTTGCCCAAGACTAACCAGCTCAAGATTGGTGGGTCCAGGATTCCAACCCAAGCCCTTGGACCCTAGAGCCCATGGTCTTGTCCATTATTCTTTGAGGATAATTTGTTACACGAACCAGACAAATACATAAAACTCTATAAACCACGTAAGTGTCCAATGATGTTAACTAAATTAAGGTAGATCTACTAATGGGATATAATTAGCCATTCCAAATAATATCTAATTTTTTAATAATATCTAATAACACGGTAAAGATATTAAGGGCAGAAACTTATGGACACTAAGAGAAGAAAATCAGGCTACTAAATATATAATGTGATTATACACGAGCACACACACGCACACATAGTAACAAGCCTTCAAGGATATAGCCCCAGAACTTACAAATACCAAAATTCTTGAGTAATCGTGTAACACATAATATTTCCCCAAATTTGCAAGCACTTATAACTAGGCCTCCCTGAGATGTGGCTGCTCCATGGTCACCTGGGGTCACTGTGTACACCAATTTTATATCATACATGGTGTACATTAGTGTCTCAGCAAGATAAACTGCATTACTTCATGGAACCATCATGATCACAAATCACATATACATGTTAAATCTCCTAATGCTGCAAGTCTACTGTCTGTGCACAAAGATCTACACAAACACTACAAAATGTTAATAGTGAGATTAAAGTTCAATCTCTTTGAAGAGATTCAAAGCAGCCTCTTTGAATCATGGGTTTATGCATAGTTTGAATTTTTTCTATATATTTCTATGCATTTTCCAAACTTTTCCACAGTGGATATAGAGTGCTTTTATAACATTATAAAAACATAGAAACCCAGCTGCCTTGGTCACTTCAAAAATCACAGTGCAGTGTCTCTTCATGGTGTCACCAGCTCCCCCTTACTGGGACTCCTAGCTAAATACTGAGATATATGCTCATTTGGGGGTTTATTTCATGAATAACTGCAAAATACAAACAGAGCTTCCATTTCAAGTCTTGGAAACATTCTCCAGGGAAAGTTTTATCATCCTAGAAGAGCTTTTCACACCCTGAGAATACTGCAAGTTATTTTGGGGGGCCTATAAAAGGTTTCTAAGTATGGAATGGATAGCTGATCGATACTGGTCCTTCTTGACTTCTACAAACCTGGGTGATATATCTGGCACTAACCACTAGCCTGCCCTAGGTCACCAGAGCAAGTGTTCCCCCTCCGCACTCAGAGAGCATCCTAAACCATCAGGGGATGCTTGCTTTTTGACAACAGCCGCACTAATATAAAACCACGCTCCTACAGAGAATTGACCACATAAGCAATAGTGGTCGACTGAGGAGGAGAGAAATGCCTTTAGCAGCGTTTAGAAAATGGATTATAGCAGAAGGTTATTTTTAAAACACCAAAGAGTGGTGATATAAATATTTATTCAGAAACTAAATACTTGATAGCTGAAGTACCCCAGGCTAGCAAGCAGCCATCATTAAGTCAAGGAAAGGTCAAAATGACAAGAGTATCCCATGAAGTAGAAACATCTGAGAATCCTCCAATCTACTGGCCTTGGCAGTACGATTGATTTAGTATGTGTGTCTCCTGATCTTTCCAAGCTTACTACCTATGAGCTTAACTTCACCAGGAAGGAACCCCCCAGAGCCATAATTTTGTACCTACAATTGAGACAACTGGAAGTAAATGAACCTAAATTCTAAGTGGAACAAAAGAGAAAGAGAACATTCTAGAAGAACTGCCCTCATGGAGGCAGAGGAGGAGAAATATAGAAGGAGACACTAAGCAGTGCAAGACTCAGGCATCATTGAAAGGCAGTGATGAAGCCGGCCTGGTTTCCAGCTGGTTGATCTTGAAAGGCTTGTAGGAGCATAAAAAAGGGTGTGGGAGTGTAAAAATCAAAATGTTTATTGTAATTGCTGGCTTTCCCAATGCTTCTCATAATACATATAGGAAGAAGGCGAAAAAACGTTCTACTGACAATCAAAATGATTTCTGATTCGGCTTTCTGCCATTCATTTCATCAGCTCATTCAACGGGAGTCCTTGCTCAGTTTGTACGACTCTTAACTTACTCTTAAAAGATACTCCACTCTGATTGCTCAGTTCAATCCCTCACCTCTCTTCTATGTCTCTTACTTAAGGAGCAATCAGTTTCCTCAACCATTTAAATCATTATCATTTTTTACCTCCTTTGCTCTGGATGCGGAATTAAAAGCCTACAGTTGTAAGAATGTGTTTACTTTGTCAAAGTCAACAAACTTCTAACCATGTATGCCAAAATAATATTGATCCAGAAGATACTACTTTTAGACCTTTATTCCCCTATTAAGTATTTAAATATTCTGTAAATTGATTTATATAGGGTCAAGGAATTAAGGCTTTGCTATTGGTTATAATAATATCATATTCCTAAATTTATTTCACATCAGTCATTCATTTAACAAACATTCATTGGGCACCTGCTATAGGCCAGCTGCATACTCAGTTTATGTCAAAGCACCTGATATTAAAAACTTCACAGTCTTGAGTGGCAGGTTGACTATACAGATAAATTGTCATATAAGAGAGAAATATTTCTCAAAGAGCAAGAAAAAGCACAAAGAAATAAATGGTTAAATCTGCTCTGAGAAGGTCTCAGAGGATTTGATACCTAAATAATGACAGTGAAGCTTCTAGACAAAGCTAGACATCTATTAAATGGTAAATTATTTCTAAATAGTTTATTGTTCAAATTACATAGAATATTCCTATTCTATGGAAGAATCTAACAAAGAGTCTATGGAAAAACAATATAATAAAATAACTTTAGGAATCTAAACTTTGAATATGTAATTCTAAGAGAAAATTTTAACCATAAACGTTCTGAGAGAAAGCAGCAATAATTTCTAAAAAATACAAAAACTTTTTTTTTTTTTTGTAGGGGAAGATTTGTCCTAAGCTACCATCTGTAGCCAATCTTCCTCCTTTTTTCTCTCTTTTCCCCTCACAAAGCCTCAGTACATAGTCGTGTATAGTTGTAAGTTCTCCTGGTTCTTCTATGTGAGCCACTGCCACAGCATGGCTACTGACAGATGAGTGGTGTGGTTCCGCGCCAGGGAACTGAACCAGGGCTGCCGAAGCAGAGTATGCTGAACTTTAACTGCTAGGCCATCAGGGCTGGCTCCAAAAACATGTTTTAATAAAATTCAATATTTTAAGTGTTATTTAGGGTAATGTTTAATTATTTTGGTGAGACCTCAATATAAAAATTTAATTTTAAGCTGGACCACATTTTCCCCTAGAGGAAGAAAAAATCACTTGAAAGACATTTCTAGCCAATAAAACAAAAATTGCACACTTATAAACTTTATTAACTATTGATTAATCAGATCATGAGTGCCACGCTATTAGGTTTCTCTTGGAACAGGCACAAGACCAGGCAAGATTTCTATACCTTCATGAGTAACTAGTTCAATGCCTTAAACAAAGACTCAGGTTACGGTAACCATCTGCTTATAGTTTCATACCAAACATCACTGAGAAAATAAACTAAAATCAGAACAAAATTTCTTTGACGCACAGGACTTGAGTTGATTGGTTTGGCTGACCTAAAGACACGGGCTTTGTTTTGATCAAAAAGCTATAAACCTTCCATTGTTGGCCACTCACTACAAACTGAGTAGCAATAATGATTTTACTGCTTAAAAGCATACAATAATTTTATTCCATTTCTGTGAATTAAAATCTGCCTAAAAATCCCTAATAGTTCTTTATTTGTGTACAGCATGATGTTGGACTTATTCAGGAGATGAGAAAATACTTATCTGGGCATAACACATTTGTTATGAAAAAGGGAAAAATAGAAGCATTCACACTTACAAAGGTGATCAAAAGTGAGAAACAATTCTAGTGTCAAGAGGTCAAGATGTTGCACAAGAGTAAATGGGAAAATGTTTAATCACGTGTTCTATATTTGGGGAGTGGCATATGGGAAATCTCAGAAGACCTAAGTGAAGTTGCTAGAAAAAGAAAGGGAGCTAGGTTCCATCCAGGTGGCCTTGGGTAAAGTGGTCAGAGAGAAAGAAATACTGTTAGCCCTCTTTCTCTAAGTGGGCAAATCGCAAATCTCTAAACCTCAAATACTTTCTACAAATGGTGGGAGAAATGGTGAGGTATATGATCGAAGAACATATGTTAGTATGTTCTTCGATCATATACCTCACCATACCATTTCTTCTACGCAGGAAATGAGAACTCTTGCATTATTTAGCAAAGGCTAAGGAATAAAAACAAAAAGTCCAACATTGAGTGAAATAAAACTGAAAGGTAGTCAGAAGGGACATAGCCTCACTAAGTACTTCAGAAAACACCCAAATAGGAGGTCAGAGTAGGGTTGATACTGCATCAAAACAACACCTGAAGATAATAACAGGTTTTTACCTACTCTCTTTCCAAGTTTATCTTGGTAGACATATTAGTGAGCAATTAAAAATAAAAATCAGGGCCGGCCCCGTGGCTTGGCGG